CCTCCTCCTTTGTGTTTCCATACTTGATAGTTCTACCTAGGTTGCCCTTTTTGTTAATCTGCGTGTGTTCTGTTGTGCATAGGGTTTTCAGAGTTATAAAAGATTATAATGTTCAAAATTATTTGTTATATATTTGTTTAAATTTTTCCCTCTTTTAACATCTGGGATCGAGAGGGACAAGAAAAGACTAGAGAATGGCCAAAATTATTGGGACAGCTATTGCTGACAGTTTAGGGCCTGTGGGTCAGAATTGCTTCCACTGTGGAAAGCTGGGCCACTTCAGTAGACAGTGTCACAGACGAGAGCCACAGATAGGCAAGGAAGTAGAGAGGAAGCTCCCACTCACTTGCTTTAAGTGTGGATTTGAAGGACACTTGGCCAAGGGTAGCCCACATCAGGTCCTCGTGGCTGACAGGACTGATAGGCCCCAGCTCCCAGCTGGAAACAAAGGAGGACGCTTCAACGATTTAGATCCTCACAGAAGAGCTGTGGGTGAGCATTAACATTGTTGTTGTTGTTATGTGCCGTTGAGACACTTGCGACTCATGGCGACCCTATGTACAATCATAGTGACCCTATGTACAACAGCCCTAAATTCTGCTCTGTCCTGTGCCAATCACACCGTCTCCGACACACCCATCCTGATTACCCCAATCACTGAATCAATCCACCTCATAGGGGGCCTTCCCCTTCTGCACTGTCCCTCCACACTACCAAGCATGATGTCCTTTTCCAAGGACCTGTCCCTCCTTGCAACATGTCCAAAGTATGTCAGACGAAGCCTTAGAATCCTTGCCTTCAAGGAGCAGCCTGGCTTGACCCTTTCCAGGATACTGATAAGTATGTTCGTTTTTCTCCTGGACACAAGAGCCTACTATTTGGTCCTAAAAGTCTTCTGAGGTCCCAACTCTTCTATTTCTTAGTTGTTGGAATGGACGGAAAACCTCATAAGCAGTTCCTTACTTCACCTCTGCCTTGCATGCAGACTTCAGAGCTGTAAAACAACCCAGTGGTAGATGGAATTTGGTCCAGGACTTAAGAACAATAAATGACATAGTTGAGCCTCTACATCTTGTGGTTCCTAACCTTTATACTATAATAGACAAAGTGCTAGTCAATAGGCCTTTTATTTTAAGAACCACCTTACCTCTGTAACTTGATTTGTGCTACTATTAGAATCTCTACTTGGAATATTATTGCTTTTTAATTTTTGACTCATGTACTTTTAACTTGTTAGTTAAATTTGTGTCTTCTAGGCTGCAACAGTTCCATGATACATCTTCAAGGATATGAACATGTACGGCTAAGCACAATTGATAGTGCATCTAAATTCCAAAAGCAATCTCCACAACAGTCTACGTGTTTCCTATTGCCAAAGGGGCCCTTTAGAGTAGTGAGAGAAGATCTTCACCCTGAAACCCACAGCGTCCCTTTTCAGCAGGAAGTAGCTAAGAGAATATGCCGTCCCCTTTTCCTTATGAATCTGAGTGAAGTCTCTCTCAGGGAGGAGTGATAGGGAATGGCAAAGGACACACTGACAAAGGAGATTAATCAGAACTGGCTTTGACAAGCACTGTGGCAATGGGACAATTAAAACAGACTTTCAAGGGGGGGGGAAGAGGAACCAACTGGGGGGGAGGGTAGAGAAAATAGTGCAACAATGAATGAATGGAAACCCAAAATCTCTGTAAATGTTCATTAAAATTAATAAAATTTAAGGAAAAAAAAAGACCAGGCTTACTGATCTGATAGAGACTGGTGGTAGCCCCGAGGCTATAACCCTTAGTTTCTTCTTCAAGCCTGGATCAGAACTCAGCCCTGTAGCTTGATTTAACCGATAGGCAGGCCTATGTGGTGAAAAATAACATCAGGGAGGTACACACTCCTTAGAAAACTCAATCACAGGCCATGGAAAGGGCAGCAATTACCCAGGAATAGAGGATAGAAAAGAAGAATTAATGGAAATAGAAATAGGAGGAAGAAGGAAGAACGTTGTTACAATGTGGGGATTGCAATTAATGTCACAATACAAAATATGCCTGAATTGTTGAACAGTAAAACCAATTTCTTCTGTAAATTTTCACTCAAATCAGAAAAAACAGTTAAAAAACCCCACTTGGTTGCTAACTGAAAGGTCAGTGGTTTAAACACAATATTGTCTCCAAGGGGAAAAGGCCCTAGCAATCAGTTCCTGTAAAGATTTCAGCCTAGAAACCCCTATAGGGTAGTTCTACTCTCCTGTAGGGTTTCTATGAGTCAGAATTGACTTGATGTCACACAGCATCCTGACTAACAGCATGAATAGTTGAAGCTGCAAAGGAACAGGCTATATTAAAATTCAAGAGTAAGTGAAAACAAAAGGAAGTAGAACAAGGACTGAAACCATTTCAACAGGCTGGATGGAATAAGCCAGATGACATTGCCCTGCTTCAAGACGCTGCACAAAGCAGAGGATGAGGGGGAGACCCGACTTGACCCCAGGGCTGGTGAAAAGGATCTGAATGATTTAGTTGACCACAACCTGATGGGAACTAATCATGGGAGAGAACGGCCCTGAAGCCCAGAGGTCTTAGGCTGCATTAACAATGTGTCGTGTCCAGACTGGGGGAAATAATAGGCCCATTGTACTGGCTTGGTCAGGCCATATCTGGAATCTTAGCGTTGCTACATTGACAGACTGGAATTAGGCCAGAAGGGGGGACCAGCCCAGCCTCAGCTCCCAGGCACTGTGCTAAGCACTTCCTGTGCATTTTCTCCTTTCATGCCCTAAACAACCCTATCAGGTAAGTACTATTAATATCCCCATTTTACACATAAGGGAATCAATTGAGTTGCCTAGGAGCATTCACACAGTTAGCAAAAACGGAGGAGCCTGAGGCTTTTCCAAATATGCTCCTCTTATCCTTGTGCCAGAGGAAGATTTGTACATCCATTTACTGAACATGCATTTATTAAGCTGCTATTAAAAGTTAGGGAGCTCTGGTGACCCAGTGGGTAGGGAGTTGCGCTGCCAACACAAAGACTGGAGGTTCAAATCCACCAGCTGTTTCATCAGAGAAAGACAGGCCATCTCCTCTTAGGAGATTTATAACCTGTAAAAACTGGTTGGTGGGTCAGCTATGAGTTAGTTCCAACTCAAGAGCAATGAATTTATATAAGGTTCGTTAAAACAACCTGGCACTGCTGAGAAAGAAAAGACCTGGCAGTCTACTTCTGTAAAGATCACAGTAAAAAAACCCAAAACTATGAAACAGGTCTACTCTGTAAACATGAAGTCACTCACGACTTCAACTCACCAGTTGAAATCGACTCAGCAGCAACTGGCAACAACATGAGAAGGGTAAAAAAACTAGGCATTGCAGGTAAGGCAGTGAGTAAGACATAGTGCCTACTTCACAGACCTCATGGTTTTGTGAGGGATCCAGACCACATGTGATACAGTACATGGGAGGGGAGAGTTGAGGTGTGGAAAAGATTCTAGAGGGGGCAAGATAGCAGAGTGTCCCAGAGTTTATGGAGAAGTCATGGGACCTTTGAACTACCTCACTGAGGTTTCCTTTTTTTCCTTGGTGCCAAAAGCTGTGTGGCTAGTAGATAGAATATGAACATACAAGGGCGCTTGGCATCCTAGGCAACCATTCTCCACCAGAGTTTCAAAGAAAGAAAAAAGAACCTGAGATTAAGAAACCATAAAAACAGGGGAGAGGGGCCTTTGAAAAATTCCAGGAGCCTTTACGCTAACCTCACCTTGGCCTTTTGAGAGTCTGAGAAGGCTCAGGGATGTTGCCTTAAGAGGCAAAAGAGAGTTTTTTGGTATTTATGCCTGAATTTTGTTCTAAACTAAGGTCTTCTCATTTTCTACCCAGGACCAAATTACACTGGTGCTGGGCTCACTTTTTCAAATCTTTCTTTGGTTTGTTTTTGTTGTTACCCCCATGCCCAGAGTGACAAAATAGCCGTGTACCTCTGTGTTAAAGGGGAATACTCCGATCCCATTCTGCCTTCTGTTAATTTATTCAGAGCAGGATGGAGCAGGACTGTTAAGAATGAAGGCTTTGTGAGCAGACAAAAGTCCAGGTCTGATTCTGCCACATAGCAGCTGCTTCACGTCTGCGTCTCCCTCTCCTCAGCTGTAAAATAGGGATAATAATAGTCCCACCGCCTTACGGTGTGGAGGGGGAGTTGTCTGGGATCGCAGCCCGGAAGAAGCTCTTCTTAAAAAGGCCTCTGTTATCTCAGTGAACTAGTGGATGCGGTCCCACCGTCTTCCACAACTCGTGAGCTCCCTGCGGTCAGGGGAGGAGCCTGGGTGGCCTCATCTTCCTCCCTGCAGGCTTAGGGCCAGGAAGATGCCAAAAGCAAGTACGGCCGGTCTGCAGGAATGAGAAAGGGGCATGGCTTCGTAAAAATGCCTGCGTTGGGTCCTCCAGCCTTGGAAGGGTGACCAGACCTCTATTTCCCTTTTTTAAAAAAAAAGAGACAAGCGGGCCTGTGCACAAGTCCCCAACTTTCTAGGCCTGAGGATAGAGGGCACGGGTTGTAAATTAGCTCAAGGAGAACTCACTGTGGGGAACCTTGGGCAGGTCCCTTTCAGCCTTGGGTCTCAGTTTCCCGCATTCGTATCAGGTGGGTCTCCTGCCTCTTCTTGGGGTTTGAAAGAGCTAAGCATAGTCAGATGCAGGTTCCCGGGCTTTGAGAACGTGGCTGATGCTGTGAGGCGGAGGTGGATGGGGGGGTGTAGTGCAGCAGGCGCAGGCGGGACGCCGGTAGGCGTGGGGATTGGCTAGAGACGGAGCAGCCGGGCTCGGGGATTGGTCCGCTCGGAGAGGGCAGGGCTGAACCTTTAAGAGGCGCGGAGGGGGCGTGCTGGGGAGTATGTGTCTAGCCAGCCGGTCAGCTTTACTAGTGTTGGCTTTTCTAGTGCTCAGAGACCGGAGCGGAGCGGAGGATCGCAGAGCAAAGGAGCATCGTGTCCCGGTTCCAGGCAGCTTGGCCTGGTCATGGCCAAAGGAGAAGGCGCCGAGAGTGGTTCCGCAGCGGGGCTGCTGCCCACGAGCATCCTTCAAACCGGTGATCGCCCGGCCCAGGTAAACTTGGGGGCCGGGTACCATAGACAAGAGGATAAGGGTTGGCTAGCTGGCTAAGGATAGACGTAGGAGGCTAGGGGATAACCGAGAACAGACAGATCTGCGAGCAGAAGAGGAGCCAAGGGTTTCATGGGGATTAGGGGAGATGGAGAAGGTTTGTAGGCTCTGGAGCCACTTTTCCCACCCCCATTCTGCCTTCTTTGCTCTGGGGTTTCACCGGCAGCTCCACGTGGTGCTTGGCTTTGCCCCGCAGGTTTTTCTTCTTCTGAGCTGAGAGACTCAAGTTTGCCGCTCTGTGAGCGAGAGAGATCCCAGAGACCTGGGGAACTTACCCTCGTCCCCCTCTCCAACCCTCTATCCCGTAGCTCCTACCCCCCAAGCCCACGCTCGTCCCTTCGCTCAGCTCTTTGGGCGGCTCAAGTTCATTCATAAGACCAAGGCTCTGCTCTTAAAGGCGCCGCAGACTTCTGGCGTTGGTGTATGCGAGTATGCACGCTTATTGGCGCGCTGAGCGCCTCTTCACAAGTCCCAGCCCCAGCCTTACTGGACTGTAGGAAATCAGGCAGCCCTAGGGAGGAATCTCAGGCAGTTGATGTCTTCCTGGGAGGTAACTGCTTTTTCCTTTTAATTTTATTCACTGATCCTTGGAAGGAGCCAGAGTGAGCAATTATTGCGCTGCTATGTATGAGTAATCTCTACTTTCCCTGGGCAACCTCAGCCTCCCCAGAGCTCCACCCGGATTGGCCCAGCCCTGCCCCTGGAGGCCTCTCCTCCTCTCTCCAAGGTCCCCTAGGAACTAGGAGTAGTGGGGGTAGCAGACAGCTCCTGGGTTTGCCCGAAGCTCTGGTTGCCTACAGGGGCTGGGGACACTCTGAAAACAGATGGAAGGCAGCTGTACTCACAGCCAGCTGGGTCAGGTCCCTACAGCTCTCTAGAGCCTTCACCCAGTAGACAGGTGGGTCCTAGCCTCCCAGCCAGGACAGAAGCCTGGGCTGGGCTCAGGCAGCTCTTGGCAGCAAGAGGATTTTCAGGTTGCAGCAGTCGGTGCCAAGTGGGGACAGGTCCTGTTCTAGAGCTAGTTTCCACTCTGATTTGGGAGGGAGCCTGGAGGGTAGTTCTCTAAGGTAGTAAGCTGATAACTATTTCTTTGGAAATGATGGCAGGGTTCCTATGAACAGAGAATTCCTTTCTCTTTTCCTTTGAAAAGGGAGTTCTTTCCCTGAGGTGGGAACGTGGCAAGTGAGAGTTGGCATTCTGGTAGAATGATTCTGCCTCTGAAACTTGCTAGGTTGAGGACCAGGAACTTGGGCTTCATTTTTCATCTTTTTCCCCCTTCCCAGAAGGAACCAAAGAAAAAGCCACAACAGTTATCCATTTGCAACAAGCTTTGCTATGCTGTTGGAGGAGCCCCCTACCAGGTGACAGGCTGTGCTCTGGGGTTCTTTCTGCAGATCTACCTGTTGGATGTAGCTCAGGTGAGTGGCTGAACCCTCTAGGGCTTCTCTAGAATCATGAGGTGGGAAGGAGTAGGCTCTCTCTGGGTGGGTTTACTCAGTTTTTCCTATATGTATAATGGGGTTCAGAAATCCTACTTTGCTACATCCTGGAATGCCACTGGATGAGGAATATGAAGGCTTTAGAAAATGCCCTGAGAGTCTTGGCTGGCAAGATCACACAACTCTTTCTGTCCTGGCAAGAGGACAGAGCCTGGAGGGGTAGGCGGTAGTATGAGAGAGAATGGGACCCACTGGTGACCCTGTTCTAAGAAGAGACTGGCACACCATGTCCCTGGCTGAATGACAACCAGCTGATGTGGCTTGGTGGTGGGTAAATGTTGCCAGGCTGAAGGATGAGGCATATTCCACCTTCACCTAAGAAGTGAGGGACCTGTCAGTGGGCAGAGGGGTGCTGAGCTGAGGGGTTCCCCATACACAAAGCCTTTGACTGAAAAGAGCACTTGGGGCACAGCAGGGCTCCTCTGTGCTTTGAGAAGCCTTGGCCAGCAGCCTGGCATCCTGAGAATTCTCTCTGCCTGGATGGGGGAGTGAGAGGCCGAACAACCATCGTTCCCAAGGCTCACACTACCGTCTTCTGTTGTAGCATCTGAATTTACAAGTAGAGCATCTTAATTGTATCCATTTACAGGTGGGCCACACTGAGACCTAGAGACATTAAGCAGCTTGTTTTCAAGCAGTTCTCATGCATTGGGCCCTGACTACCCAGAACTTGAAGGGTACAAAAAATGAGGAACTTGCAATCAAAATGTAAAACTGTGAGGCAGTGAGCAAACTGGGATGGGTGGTTAGGTGGGAGAGGCCACCAACCTCCTAGCTTCCCGAGCAATAGCAATCACAACGCTTGATGGAGAACACCATCGAGGTTGGCTGTCCAATACCTAGAATACCTGGGGGTGAGAAGAGAAGGTTATCTGAATGGGTGGTGACAGACTATATTTTTTACAGACCATTTTTTTTAAAAGGTCTATATAAGTAATCCTTTTTCTATATCCAAGATGAAGTTCTTTCATTATACAGGTGGGGAAACTGAGATTCACTGTTGTCATTTAGCTAATGCTAAGTGATATCAAGTACTCAGAGCTCAAGGCTGTGAGGGGGGGGAAGGAAGAGATTCCAGATTTATTCTAATTGGTGGAAGTGTTTTCAAGGACAACAGAGGGGAGGAACAAGGAGCCAGCCCTGGAAAGTTTCTGAGGGACACACAGTCGCTTATGAGCAAAGATGTCAGTAAAGAGAAAAATATAGGTTACTCCCCCTTTTTGAAAGTTCATTTTATACCACTTTTATGGAAGACCTACATTAGCACCTGTTTTTGCTTACTGAAAGAAATCAGAAGAGGATTTTTGCTTTTGCTAAAGAGAGTGAAAAGCAAAACTGGTCTTCAATACTGCAGCTGTTAACTAGGAAATGTATACTCTGAACAGTAAGAGTCACCAGGCCTTGGGAATTGTACAGTGTATACATTATTTCTACTTTAATGCAGGCTATATATTTATCACATCAGACCTGCTCTTACTATACGTTAGTGTTATTTTAGGGTTTTTTGGTATTGTTTGTTAGGTTGGATATGGGAATGCTCGAAACTTTTTCTCACATGAATTAATGGTAATTGCTTTTTCACTTTTTGCCTATTGTTTACAAAAGGTTTCATAAAAACACTCATTTTCAGGTAGGGCGGGGAAACTTTTAGAAGGACACCAGTCTATCTTTTGCTTTTTCTTTTCAGGTGGACCCTTTCAATGCCTCCATTATCCTGTTTGTGGGCCGGGCCTGGGATGCCATCACAGACCCCCTCGTGGGCTTTTGCATCAGCAAATCCCCTTGGACCCGCCTGGGCCGCCTCATGCCCTGGTAAGTGGAAGGAGCTCTTTCCAGGTGGAAGAGGGTGGGGCATTTACCCTTTGTTCCCTCCATCTGCCTTGTCACAGGCTGAGGAGAACGAATGACGCAAAAGGCCAAGCATGTGGTAACCTCCATTGCGGCCACAGCTACCCCAGGCACTGACCCAGGGGTGCCAAACCAGTTTGTTTCCTAGCTGGCCAAAGTACTGGACTGGGCAGCTTTCCCCAGCCCAGCCTTCACTGCTTCCCGAGGCCCGCTCTCCTTCCCTCCATGGAGTTGGAATTCTAATACTCCTCGCATGCACTTCTCCTTGTGGTTGAAAGCTTGCTCTTTGGAGCCAAATTACCTAGACTTAAACCTCAGCTTCAGCACAGCTCTGCACCTTAGACAAGTCACTTAATGTCTCTGAGCTTCAAGTTTCTTCATTTGTAAAATGGCAATAGTAATTAATTGCCTAACGATAGGGAGAATAAAATGTGGGGGTTTTTTTTTGGGGGGGGGACTTTTCTTTCATGCACAAAGTACTTAGAACAGCCCTTGGCACGTAGTAAGTGATGTGTAATTTAGCCAATTTTTTTCCCTTCAAGGCCATAGTGCAGGTGGTAGTGCCAAGAATGGGATAGCAGACCTCTATCCGCTTGGACCTTCTTAACTACCTTTGCCTTGGTAGAAAGCCTACATTGCTCAGCCTCAAGCACTAGGGTCGGTGCCAGATGAGATGGTTGTGGAAGGGTGATCAGATTAGATAGCAGAGGGACAGACCGGACAGCCTGACAGGCCGGGGCTCTGGTTCCCTTCAGGACATCCTGCTTCAGGGGGTGGGGGACCAGACCCCTTTCATCTCCAGCCCAAGCAGGCTCAAGTGGGCGCCTTCCTGCCCCAGGGGCGTCCATACCTGGTCTCCGGCCTTCAAAGCTCTTCCCCCAGCCTCGAACTCCCCCCACAGCTTCCTTTCCCACGGGGGCCCCCTCCCACCCCAATCCGCCAGCTCTTGGCCAAGGCCCAGGTTGGAGCCTTTGATCCAGGCTTCGGGGACCAGGGTAGCGCAGCCTGCCTTACCTGGGCAGGCTGCTCGGGCTCCCCTAGGGCTGCGTGTGAGCCTGGGCCGGGTGCCTTCCTCCCTGGCAGCCTGTGGGAGGCGGGGCTCTGCAGCCACATCGCCTCATGAGGCCCAGCCAATGAGAGGCAGCCGCTCACTCTGCCGGCTCGCTGCCGCAGCCGGGGTTACTACCAGTCACTTTTGGTTAGTTCCTCCAGGGTGGCTGCTCAGCTCCTTGATGGAGTGATTGTTGTCGTTGTTCCCCCCCTCCCCCATCTGATAAAGGAGATCTGAAAGACACAGCTTTTTGGGTGAGATGGGGGCGGGCGGGTATCGAGAGCAGGGCCCGCCCTCTTCATGGAAGAAAGGAGTCTCAGGGACTCTATCTGGGGGAGTGAGTGTAGCAGCTTCAGAAAGCTGTTGAGAGCCCTACAGGCTCACTTCTGACTTAGCGCAGTGTCTGGACCTGTCCTCACTTGTCTGATGCGGTAGTACCATGTTGGTGGTAACCCGCCCCTGCATCTGTGAGTGCACCCCAATCGCTTGTGAGCTGAGTGGTTGCCCTGCCTGTACCCTCTCCTCCCTGCCCTCAGTTAGTTAGGACATGACCGTGTCTTGAGGACTGGGTGCTCCGCCACCCTTTTTGTTTAAGAGGCTAGACTCTCCCTTGGGACATGATGTGAGCTGGGTAAGCTGCCTTCCCAAACCTCAGGCAAGCCCCACCCTGAGCCTGTATTTAAGACTTACCCTTATTTGAGGAAGGCATTGACAGACTTTCCTTGGAGCTTCCCATGGCTGCCCTGGAAGAGGCAGGGTGTCTACAGGGTTACGCTGTGAGGCCAAGAAGACCTGGCTGCCAGCCCTGGGCTCTTGGCTGTAGCTTTCTGCCTGCTGGCTGGGCTGTTTACCTGAGTGTTACTTCTCTTGCTGAACGTCCGTGATTGGGATAATCACAGCAAACACTCACTTTGTCCCAAATAATCTGCATTTTAGTATCAAGTCATTTAAGCCTCGATATACCACCTTTCAAGTAGAACCAGTGTCTTACAATGGCCTGGAAGGGCTCCCATATCCCCTCCACCTTCATCTCCTAATTCCACCCTGCTCTAGTCATATCAGCTTTCTGGTGGTTCCTTAGATGAGTTAGGCCTACTTAGGACCTTTGCTCTAGCTGCTCTCCTTGCCTGGCATGACTTGCCTCAGATGTCTAACTCCTTCCTCCCGTTCAGATCCTGGCACTGATGTCCACTCCTTGAGGACTGACTACCCTGTCTACCTGTTTATGAATTACAATCACACTCTCTTCCAATCCCCTTTAGCTCTCTGTCCTCTCTCTATAGCCCGTTACCTTCTATAATGTTATATGACTTTTCATTTATGTTTATTTTTCTCTGCTGACTAGAGTGTTAAGTTCTGTTGTTTTCTCACTGCTGTATCCCAAATACAATGCTGCCTAGCTCGTGGCTGACATTTAATAAATACATCGTGAAAAGAAAGGGATTGAATGGGAGGTGGATTCTATTGTCTTCAGTTTTCCGATGAGAAAATGAGCCCTAGAGAAGTTAAATAACTTCCTCAAGTTCAAGTTATTTTAGTTAATTGTAAAATCAATATTGGGTCCCAGAAAACATGACTCCTAAGACCAGTCTCTTAATGAATGTACTCTACTGCCCCTCTACATTGATTTCATAAAGTTAGTCCGTTCTGAGGTCTAACCACTTGTGACTGTGTTGGACTCGCAAGCAGGGCTGGCATTTGTTCCCCTTTATATGGTAAAAATGTTAACAATTCAAATCCACACCCTCCATCTGATCCAAGGGAGGAAGATGGACAGTGTCCTCCTGTAAAAACTTAAAAGCCTCAGAAACCTGATGGAGGGTCCCTATGAGTCGAACTTGACTCAACAGCAGTGGGTTTTGTTTTGTTTTTTTGGTTATAGTTATTTCAAGAAACTGTAATGGCACAGGGATTAAAACACTCAACTGCTAACTGAAAAGGTCAGTGGTTTGAACCCATCAGCCACTCCTGGGGAGTCAGAGGTAGCAAGCCTATTTACAGAAAGAGCTGCAGCCTTGGAAACCCTACAGGGGGCCCTTCGACTCTGTTCTTCTATAGGGTTGCTATGGGTTGAAATGGACTTGCCCACTGTGGGTTTGATGCTTGTTTTTCAGTTATTTCACTAGGCTCAGACCTCCCACCTGACCTCTCCATTCTCCTTTGCCTGATGTAGGTCTCTTAACCCACCCTAGCACCCTCATGTGCATAAGCAGTGTGGGGGCTCATGTGAGAACAGAAAGGTGCTCCTTTTCCCAGCCCTGTCACCTGAGGTCTGATATCACATGCTATGCTCAAGATTTCTTGGTCCAGGGGCTCTGTCCCTATCTGCCCTTTCCAGTTTGGCCACCAGCCTCTTCCCAGAAGCCCTGGGGTGGGTGAATTTGGGAGAAGGAATTTATTTCCTGACAGGCACCCTGTGGGGTGCTGCTTCTCAGGCCTGTTTTAGGCTCCTCGAGTACTGGCACCCAGCCCCACACAGATGTTTCCTTCTCAGGATCATATTTTCTACCCCTTTCGCCATTATTGCCTACCTCCTCATTTGGTTTGTGCCTGACTTTAAGAAGGACCAGACTCTGTGGTACCTGCTTTTCTACTGCCTCTTTGAGACATTGGTGACGGTGAGTGTGGGCATCTCCCCTGAGCTTCTCTGGGAGGGGAGTGATGGCTGTCCCTGTAGGGTTGATGCCTGAAGCTGCATCTGTCTCTGCATCCAACTAATTGGCCAAGTGCCTCTCTTCCATTCCAGTGTTTCCACGTTCCCTACTCAGCCCTCACCATGTTCATCAGCACGGAGCAGAGTGAACGGGATTCTGCTACTGCGTACCGTAAGTCTTCTCTAGCAGTCCAACCTCACCCAACAGGGACCCTGAGCCCTTCTAATCCAGGACCTTCCTACCACACCCCTCCCCATGAGGTCCTGCTCCCACTCTGCTCTTGAGAGTAGATGTTTGATTCCATCTTAAAAATAGCTTGTCCCTTCAAACGTGCGCAGGCGTCTCTCCATCCCGTACCCTCATCGGGAGGGGTTCCCGGGGCCACAGAATAACAACAACAACAAGAAAAAAAATAGCTTGTCCCCTTATTGCTCTGGCTCAGGCTACCCAGAGGTCACACAGAGCAAGTTCAGTCCATTGTGCCATCTATCTGGTCACTGTACACCCTCCTACCTGGGGCTGCCAACATTATACCTAGGGACCCACAAGCCATGAGATCCCTCTCAAGGACCTCCTTTTCACTCCCTAGGGATGACCGTGGAAGTTTTGGGCACAGTGCTGGGCACAGCAATCCAAGGCCAAATCGTGGGTCAGGCAGATACACCTTGTCTCCAGGACTACAATAGCTCAGCGCTGGCTTCAGAAGTTGTCGAACACACAAACAGCACCACTTCACTCCAAAAAACGGTGCGATCCCTTAGCTAAGCAAGGATCTGGGGAGATGAGAAGTAATGGGGCGTGGTTTGCAGTCATCATAAAGTTAGTAATTATAGATAGTGTTTATTAAGTGTTGGGCATTTTAAATACATTACTGTTAATATGCAAACTTTGCAGATAAGCTAACAGGCTTAGAAAGGCTGACTAATTTTCCCAGGTGATAGAGCTAGTAAATTGCAGAGACCAGATTAGGGGACATTTGCAATGTGGGCTCTTAGACGCCAAAGTCTAGCCTTCTATCTGCACTTTACTCAATTGTTGGAGGTTCTGGAGGTCCAGTTTAATTCTCCCATTTCACAGATGGAAGCAGTGAGGTTCTCAGCATCCTCGAGTGCTTAGCTGGGAGGAAATCAGACTAACTGTCTCTCTCTCCATCTTTTTTATAGCAAAATGCATACCTTCTGGCAGGAGGAGTCATTGCATCCATCTATGTCATCTGTGCTATCATCTTAACCCTAGGGGTGCGGGAACAGAGAGGTAAGGGGGCCCTTAAGGAGGGACTCTAGCCACAGAACAATCTGAGCCTCAATCTTTGGGAGAAGCCTTCAACTTCACTATCTTGTCTGGCTTCAGAACCCTACAAGACCCAGCAGGCTAAGCCCATGTCCTTCTTCCGCGGCCTCCGACTGGTCATGAGCCACGGCCCATATGTCAAGCTCATCGCTGGTTTTCTCTTCACATCCCTGGCCTTCATGGTGAGTGGGGACCTGAAGTGCTCTGCCAGAGAGAGGGGAACAGTAAAGGTTGGGTAGACAGAGCAATTAGGATGTGATAAGTAAAGATAATGTGATGTTTAAAAATAAAAGGTGGGTAGAATAAAGCCATGGAGCAGAGAACACTGGAGTCTGGGAAACAGCTACAGGAAACTCAGCCCCAACATCACCTCCTTTCTTGTTTTTCTCTCACCAACCTCTGCATTTCCCAGCTGGTAGAGGGGAACTTCGCCTTGTTTTGTACCTACACCTTGGGCTTCCGTAATGAATTCCAGAATCTACTGCTGGCCATTATGGTGCGTATAGGACCCCTGGGTATGACACGGCCAAAGGGAAAGTTCTGGGCTAACAGAAGTTCTTCGAGGGATAAGGGAGGCTTCCCAGAGTCCTCTGAGGAAACTGGTTTATGTATTATATTGGTAGGACTCTGAAAGAAAGCTTAGATATAGAATATAAGCAAAAACAAAGGTATGGGGGGAAATTTTGATGTATTTAAAATTCAGAGGTATGAGACAGTATGAGATGCGATTGGGACTGGATGTCAGCTCCTCTAGATGCCGTCTGTGGTGTCTGTCACCTTCTATTCCCAAGCTGATGACATCTGGCTCTTGCCAGGCCAGACAGGTAGCACATCTGGGACTGTGGAAAGGGTAAGCGAGGGTTGGCCTCATGCCTCTAACTCACCCCTTTTACCCACCTTCAGCTCTCAGCCACATTCACCATTCCCATCTGGCAATGGTTTCTCTCCCGGTTTGGCAAGAAGACAGCTGTATACTTTGGAATCTCAGTGAGTCGGACTGGAGGGGCAGGGTTTTTGCTTGGGTTGGAGATCACTGCGGGGAGCTCCCTAGCTGACCCAGCTTTTTGCACGCTTTCCCCTAGTCAGCAGTACCATTTCTGATCTTGGTGGCCCTCATGGAGAGCAACCTGATTGTCACTTATGTGGTAGCCGTGGCAGCTGGTGTCAGTGTGGCAGCGGCCTTCTTGCTGCCCTGGTGAGTATGTCCAGGCCCCGCAGGGAATGGGCTCCCTGGGGAGAGTTACACACTGCTTCTTCACCCTCCCAGACATCCTGTGGGTCTAGGTTGGAGATGGGACGCATCGGCCCTATCCATGCATGCAGAGTGTGAATGTTGCAAGAATACCTAAACCCAAATGGGAGCTGAAATCTGGCCTCCACTGTACTCACCAACCTGAGCCCCAAAAAGCTTGGAGGAACCCACAGCCATTGAGTCAGTTCTGACACACAGTGAGCCTATAGGCCTCCCTAGAACTGCCTGTAAGCTTTCCAGTGCTGTAAATCATTATGGAAATGGACTGCCTCTCTCCTACAGAGTGGCTGGTTGGTTTGAACCACACTTGGAGGAAGCTACCTGAATAGAAATTAACATGAGGTGCCATGGCTGCACTGAGTTGCGTGCCTGTGGGCTGTACCCTCGCAGAGGGCCGCCCATGCTCACTGACACTGAGGTATCACATGGACTTAGCAGGGCAAGGGTTGCAAGGTGTTGTGGGGAGATCCTCATGGCTGCTCCCACCCTGCAGGTCCATGTTACCTGACGTCGTCGATGACTTCCACCTGAAGCAGCCTCACACTCATGGAACTGAGCCAATCTTCTTCTCCTTCTATGTCTTTTTCACCAAGTTCGCCTCAGGAGTGTCATTGGGCATCTCTACCCTCAGTCTTGAGTAAGTAGGATAGGGGTTTAGGGTGAGGCCGGGCTGGGCAGGGTGAGGCCCGGGTGTCCTATCCTCACTGTTACCCTGCCCACAGCTTTGCTGGGTACCAGACTCGTGGCTGCAACCAGCCGGCACGTGTCAAATTTACACTGAAGATGCTAGTGACCATGGCTCCCATAGTCCTCATTCTGCTGGGCCTCTTGCTCTTCAAGCTGTACCCCATCGACGAAGAGAAACGGAGGCAGAACAAGAAGGCCCTGCAAGCTCTGAGGTGAGATCAGGGTGGGCATGGAGGAGGCGGAGAAAGGGTGTCATTCGGTCTAAGCCCTCTCAAGTCAGACAGCCTGGCCTGTGGCCAAATCCAGATTTAGCTTCTCCCTTAGCGGCCTCTCTTCTACTCTTTCACATTGCCACCTCATAATGGCACTAACTTTTCTTGAGCACCTAATTATACACTAGGCCCTGTGCTAAATAATTTCACATTTACTCATTTCACAAATTCTTATTGGATGCCTCTTGTGTGCCAGACATTCTTCTAGTAAACATAACAGACAAAATCCTTGTCTTCATGGAGCTTCCGTCTTAGGGACCGTGTATTTATTATGCCTTGCAGTCCTCTAACAATTCCATTTGCCAGAAGTTCATGATTCCTACCCACTCTTCTGTTGAAGAAACTGAGGCTTAAGAGTATAGCTGAGATATGAACCCTATTGTTCTAGCTTCATAATCTGTGGGTAGTACATGAAGCATTTGACTACTAAGTCAAAGTTTGGTAATTCTGATCCATCCAGAAGTGCCTTGCAAGAAAGGCCTGGTGATAACTTTGGAAAGGTTACCTGCCCCGCAAAGCCTGTGGAGCACAGTTCCACTCTGTGCACATGGGATGAGTCAGAATCAACTTCATGGCAACTATTTTTTCCAGAGCCACTTTTCCTGGCATGCTCAGGTGTGGCATGAGCCCTGCCTCCCAGGAGATCCAGCACAATGAAATGAGCGAAGTCCGCTCCACAATCAGGCCAAGTCAGGCCAGAGCATGGTCTTAGGGATTGTGGTGCCCTGTAGGCAACATGAACAGCGAACAGTTTAACCATCAGTTTCTGGCTCAAAATGGGGATGAGCAAGCTCTGCATGTCCTGTGGTTTAGACAGATGTGATTGCCAGGCCACGTTCCCTTGAGGAATGAGACAGGTGAGGCAGAGGAGGGTAAGGAAGCATTCTCTAACTGTTTCCTCTGGCTTTACAGGGACGAGGCCAGCAGCTCGGGCTGCTCTGACACAGACTCCACAGAGCTGGCCAGCATCCTCTAGGACCTGCTGTGAGACTTGAAGTCACCATGCACATGTGCACCACGCACCATGGACCTGGATCACCAGGCTACATGAGGGTCAAGGGTGGCTCTCTTGTTCACTGAACAGCTGGTTGCCAGATGCCAGGAAGGGAGTCAAAGACTCAAGAATGAGTGTCCCAGAACACTGTCAGCGCCCACAGAGGAGTGGGTGGTCCAGACTCCTGCTTTTACTCGGCCCACTAGTGGGCTGCTACTGTGAATATGCCAAGGACTCCTCGGGCCTAGCCCGAAACACTAATGTAGAAAAGTTTTATACAGAGACTAATTAATAACTTAATGACTGTATATAGTAGTTTGTGTATGTATGTCTGTGAGCTATTAATGTTATTAATTTTCATAAAAGCCAGAAAATGGACCTACTTTTTTCTCTCTTTGTTCTCAGCCACTCACTCAGCCCCTCTTGTCCCAAGGCAAAAGGAATAGAAGCCACAGGGTGGGGCAATGTGAACAGATGATAACGTCAGCTAACATCTTCAAATACCTCTTCTATCCCTCGAACCTTACGGAGGCTCACCTTCCCTCTCTTGGTGTTCTCATTTCATCTTTAACACTATCTTTCTAAATCAGCCTTGCCCCCTTTAAGAAGATAAGGAAACTAAGCCCCAGGTTAGAAAGGGACTTGGCTAAAATCATATAGACAGACAGGAGTAACCTAACTGGAATTCCCTCTCAGTTGTATGAGATATCAGTATCTTCACCATCACCCTCTGCTTCTGCAGCTGAGAATGACTGCCTGAAGCAGGTACTGCTTTGCTCTCTCGCCCGTGTGCTGGGCATTTTGCTCTGTGTCCGAGTTTGTATGGAGCTGGCTTATACTAGAGCTGACTTTATACTCTGTGATAGGGGACTTGTGGGCTCCCTCGGAACCTGTGAATCATTCTTCACAATTGTTGCTGACAGTGCTGGAGAGTGAGAATGTACCTGGCTGGGTTGGGGGAAGATGTTTTACCACCAGTGTGCCAATATAAAAACACCTCAGGTGGGAAAACATGGGCTCGAGCACATCAGAGATCCTGGTGATGTGCAGGATAGGGCAAGGCTTGTTGTCCACAGGGTCTCTGAGTCATAGTCTACTCAGTGGCACTGAACAGGAACAGTGGGGTGGGAAGGTCTAGTTTGTAACATTTGCCAGTTTCCACAGTGTAAATACTCCTGCCATCCAATTTCAAGTTACCAAAGATTGTATTATCTCAAAAAAATGCATGATAATGCAGTTGACTTGTAAGCTGGTAGGAGCTTGCCACATGCACCCAAGTCTTAGACCAAAGTCCAAAACTCACAGGACTGCAGAGCTGGCAGGATCAGAAGGTTACCAACCCAACTCCCTTATTTTATAGACAGGGAAGAGTAAGGTTACGACTTCAGGATTGAGTGTGAGGACCTATTCACAGGGAGGGCCAGGGTTCCTTTTGCTGATAAAGTTCTGCCAAGCCACCTTGTAATTTTGTAAAATTTATGAAGTGCTACTAGCAGACACTGTTAATATATGTTTAATAAACATGATTCATTTAGTCCTCATATCCTCCTTATGAGGTATGTACTATTATTGCACATGAGAAAACAGGCATAGAGGTTGAGTAATTTCCTGAAAGCCGTATAGTTAATAGCTAAACTCAAAAGCTTATTGCTGGGCAGTGATGGGGGTGGGAGCAAAGCAGTGAGGGGAAAAGCTTATTGCTTTCAAGTCAGAACCGCCTCACAGCTGACCCTCCAGTGGGTTTTTGGAGGTGGTAAATCACAAGGAAGGGGATTACTCATCTTTCACAGAGCTGCTCATGGATTTTAACCACCAGAGAGGAGCTGCTTTTGGGTGAAGAATGAAACAGCCTACAAGCTACTCCACCAGAGCTCCTCTCCAGTGAATAGAGGGGCTGGTATTTGAATCAGGCGGTATGATACAGGGCCAGTGCTCTTAACCCTGTAAGGCTGTTATGTGGCCCACTACTATTCTGATACCACCAAGCCAGGTCCCATCTCCTTTGGAGCTGCTTGCTATCCCAGGCCCGATGCTGTCCCAAGTCAGAGGACAAGGGCTTGCCTCTGTATCCAGAATACTTTAAACCAAATAAAACCCCAAATCCAGTGCCACTGACTCATCTGATTCCTTTTGACCTTCTAGAACAATGTAGAACGGCCCCATAGGGTTTGAAGACTGTAAATCTTTATGGAAGCAGATTGCTACATCATTATTCTGTGGAGAGGCTGGTAGGTTACAATTACAGATCTTTTAGTGAGAAAGTGGGTGCTTTACCACTGTAAAACCAAGGTCCCTTAGGGACTCTACTAACGTTTTCAGGGTTCCACTCACTCTCCTCACAATTCCCCTCTCCTTTAGTGGTTCAGTCCTGTATAATCAATTTTAACTCATAGCCAAGCACCCCATGTGATGGAGTAGAATTGCCCAGTCAGGTTTTCCAGGCCCTAAGTGCTCGTCTGCTAATCAGAAAGATCAGTGCTTTGAACTCATCAGCTACTCGATGGGAGAACGACGTAGCAGTTTGCTTTTATAAAGATTTGCTGTTATGTGCTGTTGTGTCAGCTCTGACTCACGGTGACCTTATATACAACAGGAAAAGATTTCTCAGTCTTGAAGCTCCCTCACAATTGGTGCTACGTTTGTTGTAGCTACTATGTGCCAATTCATCTCTTTTTTAAGTGTCTTCCTCTTTTTCACTGATCCTCTGCTTTTCCAAGTATGATGCCCTTCCATGGAATGGTCTCTCCCAATAGATACCATGTTCAAAGTACGTGAGATTTGGCCATTCTTTCTTCTAAGGCACACTTGGGCTGCACTTCTTCCAAGATAGATTTGTTTATTCTTCTGGCAGTCCATGATCTAGTCAAATTCTTTGCCGACACAGTAATTCAAAATCATCAGTTCTTCTTTGGTCTTCCTAATTCATTGTCCAGCTTTTTCAGGCATATATTTTTGCTGTTGTTATTATGTGCCATCGAGTAGCCTATGACCCATAGTGACCCTATGTATAGCAGTTCTGAAGCCTGCCCTGTCCTGAGGCAGTCTCACTGACTCTGACACACCTACCCCTATTGCCCCAGTTACTGTATCAATCCATCTCATCCGGGGTCTTCCTCTCCTGCACTGTCTCTCCACCCTTCCAAGCATGATGTCCTTCTCCAAGGACTGGTCCCTCCCGGCCATGAGTCCAAAGTATGTGAGATGGAGCTTCAAAATCCTAGCTTCCAAGGAGAAACTTGGTTTCATCTTCTCTAAGACAGACTTATTTGTTTTCTTGGAGGTCCATGGTATGTTCAAGACTCTCCTCTAGCACCACAACTCAAAGGCATTGATTCTTCTTCTGTCGTCCTTAATTATTGTCCAGCTCTTTGATACACAGCAAATAATTGGAAAGATGATGGCCTGGATTAGATGCACCTTAGTCTCTAGACTGACATAGTTGCTTTTTAGTACTCTAGAGAGGTCCCTGACAGCAGATTTTCCCAATGCAATTTGTCTTTTGATTTCCTGACTGCTGGTGTTAAAGAGTGTTGATTGTGGACCTGAGTAAGCTTTAATTGTTAACAACTTTAATCTCTTCACCATCTATCATGGGACTTCCAATTGGCCCAGTTGTGAGAATCTTTGTCTTCTTGCTGTTGAGCTTCAATCTATATTGAAGACTATAGTCCTTGACCTTCTGCAGCAAGCACTTCAGGTCCTCCTCAATTTCAGCAAGCAAGGTTATGTCATCTGCATAACATAGGCTGTTGATGTGTCTTCCTCCAATCTTGTTGCCACATTCCTCCTCATTAAGCCCAACTTCCCGAATGATCTGTTCTGTATATAGATAAAAAAAGGTATGGAGACAGCATGTTTTTACTGTCTAATAGGACTCATGGTGACCCTATGAACAATAGAGCTGAACCCTGTCCTATCCTGTGCTAGCCTCATCACCATCTGATATACTTGATTCCATTGCTGCAGTCACTGCATCAATCCACCTAGTTGAGGGTTTTCTTTCATTAAGCCTCCACCTTTCCAAGCATAATGTCCCTTTCCAAGTAATAGCCCCTCCTAGTAGCATGCCCAAAGTTTATATGATGAAGCTTCCTAATCTTTGCCTTTAAGGAGCACTTTGACTTCATTTTCTCCAAGCTATAACTGTTCTTTTGACAGTCCATGGAATATTCAGTACTCTTCTCCAACACCACAACTCAAAGACATCAATTCTCCTGCCATACTTATTTATTCTCCAGCTCTCAAATGTATACAAGTAACTGGAAAAAAATGGCCTGAATAAGTTGCACCTTAGTCTTTAAACCAAATCATTGCTCTCCAGTGATTTGGAGAGGTTCCTGATAGCAGACTTTCTCAATGCAAAGTGTCTCCTGATCTCTTGACTGCTAGTTCTGATGGTGTTGATTGCGGATCCAAGTAAGATGAGCTCAATGAAAATTTCAATCTTTTCTCCATTTATCCTGATGTTGCCTATTGGCCCTGTGGTGAGAAAGGCATATGAAGCAACGAAAAGCACTCAGGTCAACCACTTGATTCTACCTATGCAAACCTATGGGACAGTTCTACACTGCTTCATTGGGTGGGTCACTGGAAGTTTGAATCAGCTTGATAGCAACAGGTTTGACTTGTTTTTTATTAATATTTGCTGTAGCAAATGACAACGTCTTTTGAATTGCCAACGTCTGCTGTGAAAAGCTGGTTTGAATCCACCAACTGCTTGATAGGTACACTGATGTCAAAGTATGCTGAGGGTTGGGCCTGATGGCTCGAGTCCACCAGCCGCCTCTCAGGGAAAAGATGGGCAGTCTTCTTCCATTAAGATTTACGGTCTAGGAAACATGATGAAAGGCTGCAATGCAATGGTGTGGGGAGTGGGAAAAGATGAGGCAATTTCCTTCTGTGGAAATCTGTTGTTGCACTGGGGGTCCTTCCTCCTCCTCTGTGCTAATCAATAACAACCATGATATGTCTTCCCTGCCCCC